ATGTACTGGAGGTATGCATTGACATTGAAGGCACCATCAATTAGGTACATACTAATCCTTAGACCAGTTTCATGCCGGGCGCTCTGTAACTCGATCAACTATAAGCTAAGAATCCTATAAGAATCCTATAAGGTAACTTGAAATAATGATACGGTGGGTAGGTCTACTCACCGATCAAGCAAGTCCTACATTAGTATGATGGATCCACATGATTATAAATAGAAAATTGGAATTGCAGATTCAGACGAATGTAGATCATGTGAAGAGGACAGTGAAACTATGGAGCACTTTCTTCGTCATTGCCAGGCTTCGGATTTAGACACAAATATCTTACGAATATAGAGTGAAAAATTCTTAGGAAATACGTCCGAGAAACTGAGTTTCTGAACGTCGGACTATCAATCTAACCTATCAGTAGTAGATGCTTTGACAATTGGAAGCGGTGTTATAACATTATACAAAGCATTCCTTAGAAACATTGAAAGGAAAATTTTAAGAAACTACTCCCAGGATATTACGTCTCTGAACATCAGACAGACATCGGTTTTATATTAATTTATAAAGTAGGATACTCACCTCTAATTAAAATAATTAATATTTTTAACTAAATTTATTCACGCACTAAATAAATAATTAGTAATTAACGAGGTTAAATTCATAATATGACAAAAAAAGACAACAAATACTTTTTATTATTATTTAAGATTCATAAAACAATTATCTACCATTAACTGTTGATGACAAAATCCATTTAAACCAAGTAAAACAAAGGCAATTTACCCAAAAGAGGTGCGGTTAAGTCAACTGTAATGTTAAAGATCACTTTATTTTTTATTGCTGTTTTTTTTTTTTGTAATCATTGAACAATCTGACCATAATGTTAAACAAGTGCCCTGACTGTGTTAGCGATCTTTACACATACTCGACTCTTTTAAATATACAGATAGGCAGACGAACGAACGCATGTTATTGGAATAAATATTTTAGGTTCATTTTTAAGAATTTCAATTATTATTAAATACAATTTACAGAACCGCGTCAATGAACTAGAAAAAGACCCCTCAACATCCTTGAAGAAGAAGCTCTAACCATTTATCATAAAGGGAAAAAAGGTTTCATTTCCTCATTTTGCGGTTGAAAAAAAGTCAAAAACAAACTTTAAAATTTCTTCCTGTTTATGTTTGTGTTTTGTTGTTGTGTTAATTTATTACATGTTTTAGTGAATTATTATTAAACTCAGCCGCATCATAGCATGCGGTTACATGTTGGGCTGGTCATGGTTGGGAATTTTTGTTGAGCACGTAGTAAGATTATTTTGTATGAGGTAGATTACTAAAAAATGTCTGTTTGTATTCCAGGAAGAAATTTGTTGATTTTAACATTGTAATTTTAATACTTTCTTTAATTTTTTATATAAATTTTGCTAATATTAACATGTGTGACCCTGAAAGTTGTCGAGTGCTTTTTATGTGGTTTTTATTTCACTTCTGAAGAGAGACCAGATATTATTTACAAATAAGGATGACAGACGGGTTTGATATTTACCCTTCACAGCAAGTACATTCGCTATTTCGTTGCCAATTATTCCCAAATGGCCTGGTTCTTATATTATGCCTAACTTTCCTCTGAAAGAGTATTCTGTTAAGACTATCTTACAGTCCAATACGATCTTAACCTTATCACCTGACATCGTCCTAACTTCCACCTGGTTGTCGGTAAATATGTTAACATCTGTTGGCACAATACTTATTCTAATCCAGTTTATACAACCATTTATTATACGGACTCCTGGCTAAAAGATGGTGTCGTGATTAAGTAGATGGTAGTATATTTATATTCCTAGGATTTCAATTTAGAATCCCAGGCCCAATTTTTCTCCCAGTTCAGAGCCATCTATGTAGCAACGGATGTAGGTCCACAGGAGGCTATTAATCGTGGATAACCGTAGTAAGGGTGCAAACAGTTATATGATAGTTATATCATACAGTTTGAAGCTCCATCTACAGAGGGCCCGGTCAACATTAAGCGGATCTAAGGATTGAATAAGACTATCAGTGTGCACGTTTATTTAGTTAAAGAGATTAGTTTTGTGCTAAATGGATCTAATAAGACGGAATTTTTGGAAATTGGAATGTTTACGGGTAAATTCATGGTATATTGCAAATTTTTGGAATAAAATTTTGATTTTTTTCTTGGACCAGCACTCAAGGGATGACCTCTGATTATGCAGTGCAATGTGTTGGAACTAGGAAAATAGGTTGTGGGAGGGGTGATAGAGGGTGTAGCGTTTGTGCATAATTGGTTTAAATCTTCTTACATCGAAATTGCAGGAAGTTTGTTCCACATACGATTGGTGCGGCATAAGAATGAATTTTCTCTGTAATGCGTTGTGCGGGTATTGGGAACAAGTTCCCTAATTTCAGAGGAATATCCTCCATTGTAATATCGATGGAACAGTGAAATATACCCCACGCTGCGACGATGCTCCAGTGAATCAATAGAGTTGGATACCCTACTGTCACCGATAAGTACCTTCGCCCTCTCCTGTACAAGGTCGAGTAGCTTCAAAATAGACTTTGAAGCTCCGGCCCGTATATGAAACTTGTATTCCATTTTCAGTCGGATATACATAAGTGATGTAAATAGTAAGGAGATAAGATAGAGTGAAGTAAGCTTTACACCGTTTCAAAAAACCAAGACACTTGAATGCTTCTTGTGACACTTGAAAAATGTATTTAGCCTAGCAGACATTGCACTGTATTTTTATGCCCAGAACATCAAGAGATTCCGATTTCTGAATATTTATACCAAAAACAACATTGAGTCTTGGGGGCATTGAAATTTACTCTATTAATACGACCTCATTCAGATTGTTATCAAGTCATGATTTAGCGATTTATTCATATTTTTCCTCATTACCCTAATATCTAAAGGGCTTGGCCTATAACTGAATAAATATGAATGGCAGATATTGCTGTCATAGGTAGAGTAGATAGAGTTTGAATTTTGACGTTTGAAATATAATAGGAGAAAGAACGTTTCAGGTATCCCTTTGTGAGACCTGAAACGAGAGAAAACGGTCAGTGTATTAGTACACTTCGACATAATTACTCTGGTTTCCTAAACCAAACCAGTTTGTCGCACGAATATAGGAATCTATTTTTCGGATATTGATCTCCGATAGATCCGCTAAGTCATGCAAAAATAGCTACCTAGCAGATCCATTCTATGATCTGCTAGGGCGGGACAATGACAGAGGAAGTGAGTCATACTCTCTTCTTCCTCTTCATCCTGGCAGCTCCTGCAGAAGTCAATACTGGATAAGTTCAGTCTTCTTGCATGGAGCCCGAAAGGCCAATGGCTAGTCACCACCGCCGTTAAGTTCCGTAGATTGACTCTCGCAATATAGAAAAGGGCTTGGGATCTCTGTGGGTTGTAAGATGGTCACATGATCCTTGCCTGTCTACAGGTGGCCTCAGTCGACCATCTGCATTGCCCAAGCTCATATAGTTTTTCACGTTCGATACGTTGAAAGCGGTATGCCGACGAAAGGGTCGGTATGCTCTCTTGCAAGTGAGGAACCTAACTTGGCAAGAGAGCCGCAATGGTATTGTTGATGTCCTGGAATCCAGTACAGTCCTATTGTGGAATGTTTCGCCATCTCATTAAGGGATGCCCGGCATTCTAGGACAAAGTTTGATGTTGTGTAGACACCACTTAGAACCTTAATATATATATACAGATATATATATATATATATATATATATATATATATATATATATATATATATATATATATATATATATATATATATATATATATATATATATATATATATATATATATATATATATATACCTAATGTTTTTTAAGTGACAAATTAATTAGGGAAAACTAAACATCTTTTAGAAAATCTACCTAGCACTATTATTTTCATCCATATATGTAACAAATTTAAGAGTTAACCTTATGGATGAAAATAATAGTGCTATGTAAATTTTCTAAAAGATGTTGAGTTTTCCCTAATTAATTTGTCACTTAAAAAATATTAGGTAGGCATGTTATATATCAATGGAAAGGTAATTTTGTCTATTTTTCAAAACTGTATATAATTTTTGAAAATTAAAAAATTCGCGGAATACTTTTAAAAAAAAATTAGAAAATGTTTTTTATTCAGTTTTTGCGAAGATACAATTTTTTCAAATTGCAATAAAAATTTTATTTATGAATATTTTTTGATGAAATTTTACAGTTAGGTAGATTTTTTTACTCAAAATGCAAAATTAAATAAAAATTTCGAATTTTCTTATTAGAAATCCCGGAATTCTCAAAAAAGTTTTAAAAAATCCCAAAAATGGGATTTTTTGGTTTTTTGCCTATTATATCCATACCAGGGGCAGGGTTATCGAAACCCGTTACAAAATGATTAAGAACATATTGGGTCATATAAAACAGGTCACTATAATTTGATATCGACTATGCGATTTGAGAATTTTTGCTCAAAATTGAATTTTCCATAAAAAATAGGGTTTTTTTTGGATGGACCTGGTCCCCTCGGTATCAAATTTTAAAATTTTAATTTTCAAATGCGAATATCTCCTAAACTATAAGAGATAATTTTTTATAGTGCTCGATGAGGAGATTCTATATACGAAATTTTTTTTAAATCGGAACTCAAATGAAGAAATAGGATCGTTTTAAAAATTTAACATAGCCGAGGTGTCCTAATTTGAGGACCCTCCGCCGGGCCCCTGGTTGGCCTATAAGGTCCAAATTCAAAACCTAAACTCGACAACACCTCCTCTTTGTGCATACCAAATTTCATTAAAATCGGATTAACCGTTTAGAAGTTACCGAATTATTTCCCTCTTTTTTTTTTCCTATACCACTGTGCACCGGATAAAGCAGGTATTGTAATAAAAGAAAAAACTAATTTTAATTTATAAACATTTATTAATATGACATGAAAAATATGTTTTTTATTAAATGTTTCTACGAATTGAATTTAATTCTAACTAATATACAATGGTTATAATCCCTGGGCAAATATCTTAAATTTTTTTCTATATACAATTATTCACAAGATGGGTTAAATTAAATTATCGGGGTTTTTTGTTTCCTTTTGAAGGGAAATATATATAGATAAACTTAAAATTAATGACTTAGGAAACTAAAACGAATAAAATAATTACAAATAAAATATTATTATAAAATTACATTAATTACACAATTTATGTCGTATATAAGATACTCGTTGGAGATTGAATGGATTAATGATCACAATATGCATATAAAACAGAGTGCACTGGGGTGCAGTTCAAAAGTATAAAATAGAATTTATAAATGTAATTATTCCAAAACTTAAAAATTATATTTAAAAAAAGAGCATCTTAATTAGGCATTTTTGACTTTGGGACTCGTGCGTCTCAATATCAGCGAAGACCAGTTGCAGAAGGGCATCTCAAAGGCCAAAGAGAAGACAATAGAGGCTAAGTAAGTGATGACGGAGAAACCGGAGCAAAGAACGCACTAGAGGAGGAGAAAGACGGAATTAAAACATGGTTTATGAACTCATAATATACAGTACTTACCAACATAAATGGATCAGCATGAGTACTGACACTGGTTAAACCGAAAAATAGCGCAATCACAAATGGATTTAATAGATAAATCCCATATGAAAGTCTATTCAAATGTTGAAAAGGTTTGGCTTCCAAAAATCTAGACCAACAGGTACTGCGTCCAGTAGCACTGCCAATAATCATCCAACAAATGCTCAATGAAAACAGCAAACGACCCAACACAAACAAGGATATGGCCATTATGTAGGACATGTCACGTTTAACGGTCGAATAAATGCAAATGAAGAATGTCAACAATGACAAATTCCACAAGCATTTCTCTTGGAATTCACTTAAATCGAATTCACGCTTCTTATGCTCTAAGAAATACCAACCAGCCACAGCTCCCATTATATAAGGCAATACACGCACAAATGGACTAATGTAAATTTCAGTGCCGGTGGCAAAGAAAGTGTCAAATGATAATTGGAAATTGATGTTTAAGCCAATACGGAAGGACCATACCATGTTGGCAATAAAGCAGCCAATAGTTAAAGTCTTGGCCAATTTGGGATGTCTAGAAGTAATTAGAAATTAGTTATAAAATCCTAAAGTTAGTTCATTAATAAGACTCACTTGGCATAGGTAAATAACAAAATGGTGGCAATTACAAAGTACTGCATTTCACATGCCAACGACCAGGTCCAGTTAAGACACATATCTTTGTGATCAAATAAATTTTGTATAAATAATATATTACGCCACCAATAATTAGCACAGTTTTCATCAAATCTTTCGTTGATATGATAAACTGACACTTTGCTAATGTAGACGAATAGGAGATCCACCACAGCCATTACCACAAGATAAAGGGGACCAAGTCTGTGAAATAGAATTTTATAAATTAGTATTATTTTTTATCTCTTAACTTTTTAAATATTTCGGATTAAAGCTAAAAAGGGTCCAGTATACTACCGGATAACACTTTATGCCCGTATTGGACGATAAGAGTGCTTTAACCAAAAACTCTCCAGAAAGTACATGTTTTAAAGAGAAGGAAATAACAAGGACTGATTTGAAAATAGTCTGAAAATATGCAAGACCTAGCTTAATTTGAGGACACACATGATTATGGCAGATTTATACAAAATTGGATTCAGACGAAAGTATAACATTTAGAGAGGACAATGAAACTGTGTAACACTTTTTGTATCATTGCCAGGCTTTTAACGAAATTAGAAACAAATTCATTGGGGGCAATTTTACTCCGAATATAGCATTACTCGCGAACACTGATTGGAAAATTCTAAGGAACTAAAATTATAACACTTTCTCATGGAATAAGCACTTTCTCATCAGAATCAGGTCTATCATATCCGATCATATCTCACATAAAATTAACCTATAAGAAGTGGTTAGTAAGATCTCATTAAAACGCTATCGACTGGGTAATTGCTCTGCACTTTCTCTTCCTGCGTGAATATCTTTGAAATGGTCCCTCATAATGGAGGGACCAATGCACATTTATCAATTTTGTATAAGTTATAAAGACTGGTAAGTCAAATTCAATAAAATCTATCTTAGACTTTTAGGCTCTAGATAGTCCGAATCACAACACCTATCAGTGAATACTGTATTTATAATCTGTTACGGTAAACTGAATTTTTCTCCGATAATTTTTGTCTCTTCGTCTCCATTGGATTGTTTAATGGTTATGCGACTAATATGGCCTCGCCACAATTAAGTGCCGAGATGTCGACCATTAATAAATTCTTGGACATTTTAGGATTTATCAAAATTCTTCACTCCAAGGCAACTGTTAAACTTTTAATATATATGCCATGTAGTAGTCAATATTCCAGTTTGAAGTCTATTCTAGTGTATAGTCTAGTCTATAGTACAGTGTATAATCTAGTGTATAGTCTAGTCTATGGTATAGTCTACAGTCTAGTATATAGTCTAGTCTATAGTCTAGTCTATAGTCTAGTCTATAGTCTAGTCTATAGTCTAGTCTATAGTCTAGTCTATAGTCTAGTCTATAGTCTAGTCTATAGTCTAGTCTATAGTCTAGTCTATAGTCTAGTCTATAGTCTAGTCTATAGTCTAGTCTATAGTCTAGTCTATAGTCTAGTCTATAGTCTAGTCTATAGTCTAGTCTATAGTCTAGTCTATAGTCTAGTCTATAGTCTAGTCTATAGTCTAGTCTATAGTCTAGTCTATAGTCTAGTCTATAGTCTAGTCTATAGTCTAGTCTATAGTCTAGTCTATAGTCTAGTCTATAGTCTAGTCTATAGTCTAGTCTATAGTCTAGTCTATAGTCTAGTCTATAGTCTAGTCTATAGTCTAGTCTATAGTCTAGTCTATAGTCTAGTCTATAGTCTAGTCTATAGTCTAGTCTATAGTCTAGTCTATAGTCTAGTCTATAGTCTAGTCTATAGTCTAGTCTATAGTCTAGTCTATAGTCTAGTATATAGTCTAGTCTATAGTCTAGTCTATAGTCTAGTCTATAGTCTAGTCTATAGTCTAGTCTATAGTAGTCTATAGTCTAGTCTATAGTCTAGTCTATAGTCTAGTATATAGTCTAGTCTATAGTCTAGTCTATAGTCTAGTCTATAGTCTAGTCTATAGTCTAGTCTATAGTCTAGTCTATAGTCTAGTCTATAGTCTAGTCTATAGTCTAGTCTATAGTCTAGTCTATAGTCTAGTCTATAGTCTAGTCTATAGTCTAGTCTATAGTCTAGTATATAGTCTAGTCTATAGTCTAGTATATAGTCTAGTCTATAGTCTAGTCTATAGTCTAGTCTATAGTCTAGTCTATAGTCTAGTCTATAGTCTAGTATATAGTCTAGTCTAGTCTATAGTCTAGTCTATAGTCTAGTCTAGTCTATAGTCTAGTCTATAGTCTAGTCTATAGTCTAGCCTTAGTCTAGTATAGTCTAGTCTATAGTCTAGTCTATAGACTCCTATGAGTACTATAGACTAGTCTATAGACTAGACTATAGACTAGACTATAGACTAGACTATAGTCTAGACTATAGACTAGACTATAGACTAGACTATAGACTAGACTATAGACTAGACTATAGACTAGACTATAGACTAGACTATAGACTAGACTATAGACTAGACTATAGACTAGACTATAGACTAGACTATAGACTATATAGACTAGACTATAGACTAACTATAGACTATACTATAGACTAGACTATAGACTAGACTATAGACTAGACTATAGACTAGACATATAGACTAGACTATACTAGACTATAGACTAGACTATAGACTAGACTAGAGACTAGACTATAGACTAGACTATAGACTAGACTATAGACTAGACTATAGACTAGACTATAGATACTAGACTATAGACTAGACTATAGACTAGACTATATACTAGACTGTAGACTATACATAGACTATACATACACGAGATTATACACTGTACTATAGACTAGACTATACACTAGAATAGACTTCAAACTGGAATATTGACTACTACATGGCATATATATTAAAAGTTTAACAGTTGCCTTGGAGTGAAGAATTTGATAAATCCTAAAATGTCCAAGAATTATTAATGGTCGACATCTCGGCACTTAATTGTGGCGAGGCCATATTAGTCGCATAACCATTAAACAATCCAATGGAGACGAAGAGACAAAAATTATCGGAGAAAAATTCAGTTTACCGTAACAGATTATAAATACAGTATTCACTGATAGGTGTTGTGATTCGGACTATCTAGAGCCTAAAAGTCTAAGATAGATTTTATTGAATTTGACTTACCAGTCTTTATAACTTATACAAAATTGATAAATGTGCATTGGTCCCTCCATTATGAGGGACCATTTCAAAGATATTCACGCAGGAAGAGAAAGTGCAGAGCAATTACCCAGTCGATAGCGTTTTAATGAGATCTTACTAACCACTTCTTATAGGTTAATTTTATGTGAGATATGATCGGATATGATAGGACCTGATTCTGATGAGAAAGTGCTTATTCCATGAGAAGTGTTATAATTTTAGTTCCTTAGAATTTTCCAATCAGTGTTTCGCGAGTAATGCTATATTCGGAGTAAAATTGCCCCCAATGAATTTGTTTCTAATTTCGTTAAAAGCCTGGCAATGATACAAAAGTGTTACACAGTTTCATTGTCCTCTCTAAATGTTATACTTTCGTCTGAATCCAATTTTGTATAAATCTGCCATAATCATGTGTGTCCTCAAATTAAGCTAGGTCTTGCATATTTTCAGACTATTTTCAAATCAGTCCTTGTTATTTCCTTCTCTTTAAAACATGTACTTTCTGGAGAGTTTTTGGTTAAAGCACTCTTATCGTCCAATACGGGCATAAAGTGTTATCCGGTAGTATACTGACCCTTTTTAGCTTTAATCCGAAATATTTAAAAAGTTAAGAGATAAAAAATAATACTAATTTATAAAATTCTATTTCACAGACTTGGTCCCTTTATCTTGTGGTAATGGCTGTGGTGGATCTCCTATTCGTCTACATTAGCAAAGTGTCAGTTTATCATATCAACGAAAGATTTGATGAAAACTGTGCTAATTATTGGTGGCGTAATATATTATTTATACAAAATTTATTTGATCACAAAGATATGTGTCTTAACTGGGACCTGGTCGTTGGCATGTGAAATGCAGTACTTTGTAATTGCCACCATTTTGTTATTTACCTATGCCAAGTGAGTCTTATTAATGAACTAACTTTAGGATTTTATAACTAATTTCTAATTACTTCTAGACATCCCAATTGGCCAAGACTTTAACTATTGGCTGCTTTATTGCCAACATGGTATGGTCCTTCCGTATTGGCTTAAACATCAATTTCCAATTTATCATTTGACACTTTCTTTGCCACCGGCACTGAAATTTACATTAGTCCATTTGTGCGTGTATTGCCTTATATAATGGGAGCTGTGGCTGGTTGGTATTTCTTAGAGCATAAGAAGCGTGAATTCGATTTAAGTGAATTCCAAGAGAAATGCTTGTGGAATTTGTCATTGTTGACATTCTTCATTTGCATTTATTCGACCGTTAAACGTGACATGTCCTACATAATGGCCATATCCTTGTTTGTGTTGGGTCGTTTGCTGTTTTCATTGAGCATTTGTTGGATGATTATTGGCAGTGCTACTGGACGCAGTACCTGTTGGTCTAGATTTTTGGAAGCCAAACCTTTTCAACATTTGAATAGACTTTCATATGGGATTTATCTATTAAATCCATTTGTGATTGCGCTATTTTTCGGTTTAACCAGTGTCAGTACTCATGCTGATCCATTTATGTTGGTAAGTACTGTATATTATGAGTTCATAAACCATGTTTTAATTCCGTCTTTCTCCTCCTCTAGTGCGTTCTTTGCTCCGGTTTCTCCGTCATCACTTACTTAGCCTCTATTGTCTTCTCTTTGGCCTTTGAGATGCCCTTCTGCAACTGGTCTTCGCTGATATTGAGACGCACGAGTCCCAAAGTCAAAAATGCCTAATTAAGATGCTCTTTTTTTAAATATAATTTTTAAGTTTTGGAATAATTACATTATAAATTCTATTTTATACTTTTGAACTGCACCCCAGTGCACTCTGTTTTATATGCATATTGTGATCATTAATCCATTCAATCTCCAACGAGTATCTTATATACGACATAAATTGTGTAATTAATGTAATTTTATAATAATATTTTATTTGTAATTATTTTATTCGTTTTAGTTTCCTAAGTCATTAATTTTAAGTTTATCTATATATATTTCCCTTCAAAGGAAACAAAAAACCCCGATAATTTAATTTAACCCATCTTGTGAATAATTGTATATAGAAAAAAATTTAAGATATTTGCCCAGGGATTATAACCATTGTATATTAGTTAGAATTAAATTCAATTCGTAGAAACATTTAATAAAAAACATATTTTTCATGTCATATTAATAAATGTTTATAAATTAAAATTAGTTTTTTCTTTTATTACAATACCTGCTTTATCCGGTGCACAGTGGTATAGGAAAAAAAAAAGAGGGAAATAATTCGGTAACTTCTAAACGGTTAATCCGATTTTAATGAAATTTGGTATGCACAAAGAGGAGGTGTTGTCGAGTTAGGTTTTGAATTTGGACCTTATAGGCCAACCAGGGGCCCGGCGGAGGGTCCTCAAATTAGGACACCTCGGCTATGTTAAATTTTTAAAACGATCCTATTTCTTCATTTGAGTTCCGATTTAAAAAAAATTTCGTATATAGAATCTCCCTCATCGAGCACTATAAAAAATTATCTCTTATAGTTTAGGAGATATTCGCATTTGAAAATTAAAATTTTAAAATTTGATACCGAGGGGACCAGGTCCATCCAAAAAAAACCCTATTTTTTATGGAAAATTCAATTTTGAGCAAAATTCTCAAATCGCATAGTCGATATCAAATTATAGTGACCTGTTTTATATGACCCAATATGTTCTTAATCATTTTGTAACGGGTTTCGATAACCCTGCCCCTGGTATGGATATAATAGGCAAAAACCAAAAAATCCCATTTTTGGGATTTTTTTAAACTTTTTTGAGAATTCCGGGATTTCTAATAAGAAAATTCGAAATTTTTTATTTAATTTTGCATTTTGAGTAAAAAATCTACCTAACTGTAAAATTTCATCAAAAAATATTCATAAATAAAATTTTTATTGCAATTTGAAAAAATTGTATCTTCGCAAAAACTGAATAAAAAACATTTTCTAATTTTTTTTTAAAAGTATTCCGCGAATTTTTTAATTTTCAAAAATTATATACAGTTTTGAAAAATAGACAAAATTACCTTTCCATTGATATATAACATGCCTACCTAATATTTTTTAAGTGACAAATTAATTAGGGAAAACTCAACATCTTTTAGAAAATTTACATAGCACTATTATTTTCATCCATAAGGTTAACTCTTAAATTTGTTACATATATGGATGAAAATAATAGTGCTAGGTAGATTTTCTAAAAGATGTTTAGTTTTCCCTAATTAATTTGTCACTTAAAAAACATTAGGTATATATATATATATATATATATATATATATATATATATATATATATATATATATATATATATATATATATATATATATATATATATAATATATATATATATATATATATATATATATCTGTATATATATATTAAGGTTCTAAGTGGTGTCTACACAACATCAAACTTTGTCCTAGAATGCCGGGCATCCCTTAATGAGATGGCGAAACATTCCACAATAGGACTGTACTGGATTCCAGGACATCAACAATACCATTGCGGCTCTCTTGCCAAGTTAGGTTCCTCACTTGCAAGAGAGCATACCGACCCTTTCGTCGGCATACCGCTTTCAACGTATCGAACGTGAAAAACTATATGAGCTTGGGCAATGCAGATGGTCGACTGAGGCCACCTGTAGACAGGCAAGGATCATGTGACCATCTTACAACCCACAGAGATCCCAAGCCCTTTTCTATATTGCGAGAGTCAATCTACGGAACTTAACGGCGGTGGTGACTAGCCATTGGCCTTTCGGGCTCCATGCAAGAAGACTGAACTTATCCAGTATTGACTTCTGCAGGAGCTGCCAGGATGAAGAGGAAGAAGAGAGTATGACTCACTTCCTCTGTCATTGTCCCGCCCCTAGCAGATCATAGAATGGATCTGCTAGGTAGCTATTTTTGCATGACTTAGCGGATCTATCGGAGATCAATATCCGAAAAATAGATTCCTATATTCGTGCGACAAACTGGTTTGGTTTAGGAAACCAGAGTAATTATGTCGAAGTGTACTAATACACTGACCGTTTTCTCTCGTTTCAGGTCTCACAAAGGGATACCTGAAACGTTCTTTCTCCTATTATATTTCAAACGTCAAAATTCAAACTCTATCTACTCTACCTATGACAGCAATATCTGCCATTCATATTTATTCAGTTATAGGCCAAGCCCTTTAGATATTAGGGTAATGAGGAAAATATGAATAAATCGCTAAATCATGACTTGATAACAATCTGAATGAGGTCGTATTAATAGAGTAAATTTCAATGCCCCCAAGACTCAATGTTGTTTTTGGTATAAATATTCAGAAATCGGAATCTCTTGATGTTCTGGGCATAAAAATACAGTGCAATGTCTGCTAGGCTAAATACATTTTTCAAGTGTCACAAGAAGCATTCAAGTGTCTTGGTTTTTGAAACGGTGTAAAGCTTACTTCACTCTATCTTATCTCCTTACTATTTACATCACTTATGTATATCCGACTGAAAATGGAATACAAGTTTCATATACGGGCCGGAGCTTCAAAGTCTATTTTGAAGCTACTCGACCTTGTACAGGAGAGGGCGAAGGTACTTATCGGTGACAGTAGGGTATCCAACTCTATTGATTCACTGGAGCATCGTCGCAGCGTGGGGTATATTTCACTGTTCCATCGATATTACAATGGAGGATATTCCTCTGAAATTAGGGAACTTGTTCCCAATACCCGCACAACGCATTACAGAGAAAATTCATTCTTATGCCGCACCAATCGTATGTGGAACAAACTTCCTGCAATTTCGATGTAAGAAGATTTAAACCAATTATGCACAAACGCTACACCCTCTATCACCCCTCCCACAACCTATTTTCCTAGTTCCAACACATTGCACTGCATAATCAGAGGTCATCCCTTGAGTGCTGGTCCAAGAAAAAAATCAAAATTTTATTCCAAAAATTTGCAATATACCATGAATTTACCCGTAAACATTCCAATTTCCAAAATTCCGTCTTATTAGATCCATTTAGCACAAAACTAATCTCTTTAACTAAATAAACGTGCACACTGATAGTCTTATTCAATCCTTAGATCCGCTTAATGTTGACCGGGCCCTCTGTAGATGGAGCTTCAAACTGTATGATATAACTATCATATAACTGTTTGCACCCTTACTACGGTTATCCACGATTAATAGCCTCCTGTGGACCTACATCCGTTGCTACATAGATGGCTCTGAACTGGGAGAAAAATTGGGCCTGGGATTCTAAATTGAAATCCTAGGAATATAAATATACTACCATCTACTTAATCACGACACCATCTTTTAGCCAGGAGTCCGTATAATAAATGGTTGTATAAACTGGATTAGAATAAGTATTGTGCCAACAGATGTTAACATATTTACCGACAACCAGGTGGAAGTTAGGACGATGTCAGGTGATAAGGTTAAGATCGTATTGGACTGTAAGATAGTCTTAACAGAATACTCTTTCAGAGGAAAGTTAGGCATAATATAAGAACCAGGCCATTTGGGAATAATTGGCAACGAAATAGCGAATGTACTTGCTGTGAAGGGTAAATATCAAACCCGTCTGTCATCCTTATTTGTAAATAATATCTGGTCTCTCTTCAGAAGTGAAATAAAAACCACATAAAAGCACTCGACAACTTTCAGGGTCACACATGTTAATATTAGCAAAATTTATATAAAAAATTAAAGAAAGTATTAAAATTACAATGTTAAAATCAACAAATTTCTTCCTGGAATACAAACAGACATTTTTTAGTAATCTACCTCATACAAAATAATCTTACTACGTGCTCAACAAAAATTCCCAACCATGACCAGCCCAACATGTAACCGCATGCTATGATGCGGCTGAGTTTAATAATAATTCACTAAAACATGTAATAAATTAACACAACAACAAAACACAAACATAAACAGGAAGAAATTTTAAAGTTTGTTTTTGACTTTTTTTCAACCGCAAAATGAGGAAATGAAACCTTTTTTCCCTTTATGATAAATGGTTAGAGCTTCTTCTTCAAGGATGTTGAGGGGTCTTTTTCTAGTTCATTGACGCGGTTCTGTAAATTGTATTTAATAATAATTGAAATTCTTAAAAATGAACCTAAAATATTTATTCCAATAACATGCGTTCGTTCGTCTGCCTATCTGTATATTTAAAAGAGTCGAGTATGTGTAAAGATCGCTAACACAGTCAGGGCACTTGTTTAACATTATGGTCAGATTGTTCAATGATTACAAAAAAAAAAAACAGCAATAAAAATAAAGTGATCTTTAACATTACAGTTGACTTAACCGCACCTCTTTTGGGTAAATTGCCTTTGTTTACTTGGTTTAAATGGATTTTGTCATCAACAGTTAATGGTAGATAATTGTTTTATGAATCTTAAATAATAATAAAAAGTATTTGTTGTCTTTTTTTGTCATATTATGAATTTAACCTCGTTAATTACTAATTATTTATTTAGTGCGTGAATAAATTTAGTTAAAAATATTAATTATTTTAATTAGAGGTGAGTATCCTACTTTATAAATTAATATAAAACCGATGTCTGTCTGATGTTCAGAGACGTAATATCCTGGGAGTAGTTTCTTAAAATTTTCCTTTCAATGTTTCTAAGGAATGCTTTGTATAATGTTATAACACCGCTTCCAATTGTCAAAGCATCTACTACTGATAGGTT